ATGCAAGCAAAATAGGCCCTAAACGGGTACCCTGTGGTGTCCCGCCGCACAAAGCTTGGGAACAAGAAGTGACCGTACCTATGCACATGACCTGAGATCTACCTTGTAAGAAGCACGCAAGCCAACGTAGCAAACTAGCGTTTAGATTGAACTTAGATAGTTTTTCTATAAGGATTTTATGGTCTATTAAGTCAAAACCCTTACGCGAAAAACAATCGTACAGCACAGTTCCCTTTATCGAGGGCTTCGAGAATCAAATGAATTCGAAGTAGGTAAATAAGGGCTTGTTCCGCACTTTTCCCAGCAACCGCAAACTGCTTGACATCAAGATACGCTGGTATGGAAGGCAGGATAGTGGTGAGCGTGAACCCTTCTAGTAGCTTGGCCACTTGACAAGTCAGACCGAGGAGGCGGATGTCCTCTTCTATTTTCTTAGGTGGTGACGTCTTAGGCAGGGGGCGAACGATCGCTGACTTGAGAAGGGGAGGGAGGTACCCCTTACTTAGTGACGAGTTGTAACTGTCGGCAATAGCGGGAGCCAATTCAAAAGCGAAGGTCTTAAGAATAGAGTTGGGAATCCCGTCAGGTTCCGGCGCTTTCTGGGTCTTGATTCTGCGGAGCGCGACAAAGGCCTCCCGTTCGGTCACAAACAGATGACGCGGTATCTCATCAACACTTATGCACTCGATATTAGCCGATGTTAAGGGGGAGAACCCCGAAGTGAGAGACACAAAAAAGTTATTAATATTTTCTGCAAGATCATTAACTGCATCTACGTTCTCTGTATCTATAAGTTGACTATACCACAAGCCCTCACTACATGAAACACCTGACAAGTTCTTGATCGATTTCCACCACTTCCCAACATGTGTGCTCTTGAGACTTTTAACTTTGTTTTTATAGAAAGCCTTCTTACTGTGCTGATTAAGCCGCTGAACATTATCACGCCAAAGCTTAAACAGAAAGGAGTCTTTCCCCTGCTGGGCTGAATATTTCTGCCGTTTCTTGATCGCAATTTTGATCGCGTTGGTTATGATTCCAAAT